TGCTGGAACCCCTTTGGGGCAGTTCTGCTCTGTTTTGTCGGGTTGCTATGAGCTGGAACTGACTTGGCGGCAATGAGTAATCTTTTATAAGAGCAGCTCATCAGATTTTCCCTTTTGTGGAGTGGTGATGGGTTCTAATCACTAATCTTTCAGTTAGCAGCCAAGTATTTAACCACTGTGCCACCAGGGTGTTGAAAGAAAAAAGTTTAGAAATTGATGGTGGTGGCAATTGAACAACATGATGAATATGATTAATTAACTGAATTGTACTCATGCTGTTGTTGTTGTTAGGTGCCATGGAGTTGGTTCTGACTCATAGCAATCCTACGCACAGCAGAATGAAACACTGTCAGGTCCTGAGACGACCTCACAATCATCACTATACCTGAACCTATCGCTTCCACTGCTGTGCCAATCCATCTCACTGGGGGTCTTCCTCTTTTTCTCTAACCCTCCGGGGGTCTTCCTCTTTTTCTCTAACCCTCCACTTTACCAAACATGATATCCTTCTCCGGGACTGGTCCCTCCTGACATGTCCAAAGTATGAGAGAAGAAGTCTGGCCTTCTGGCTTCCAAGGAGAACTCTGGCTATACTTCTTCTAACACAGATCTATTTCTTGTTTTGTCAGTACTTTAAATATTCTCCTCCAATACCATAACTCAAATGCATCAATTTTTCTACAGTTTTCCTTATTCACTGTCCAGCTTTCGCATGCATATGAGGTTATTGAGAATACAATAGCTTGTGTCAGGCGCACGGTAGTCCTCAAACTGACATCTTCACTCTTCAACACGTTAAAGAGGTCTTGTGCAGCAGATATGCCTATTGCAAATGCATTGTTTGATTTCTTGACTGCTGTTATCATGAGTGTTGATGAGTGATTTAAACAAAATGAAGTCTCTGACAACTTTGGTCTTTTCTCCATTGATATGGATGTTGTTTATTGATCCAATAGTGAGGATTTTTGTTTTCTTTACATTGAGTTGCAACCCATACTGAATACTGTGGTCTTTGATCTTCATCAGCAAGAATTTTAAGTCCTAAATCATAAACCTGGATAAAATGGTGACTGATTTTGTTATGTATGTTTTACCATAATAAAATGAAGAAAACAAAACAAAAATAAAAACAAAGTAGGAGTTAAATGTTGAGCACAGCGTGTATTTAGTTGGTTTCCCAACCACTGTTGTATGTTCTGATTTTTCACCTGCCAGGCTGCAGACTTCAGGTTATTTTCAGAGCAGTTGTTGTTGTTGTTATTTGCTGTGGAGTCGGTTCCGACTCATAGCGACCCTATACAGGGTTTCCGAGGCTGTAAATCTTTACAGTAGCAGAAAGCCTCATCTTTCTCCTGTGGAACAGCTGGTAGTTTCGAACTGGTGACTGTGGGTAGTAGCTAATTAGAAATCATCTGAAGAACAGATATGAACAAAGACCAGAAGAGCTGTGGGATGAACATCAAGAACATCATACAGGAAGAAAGCAAAAGGCCATTAAGAAGTCAAGAAAGAAGAAAAAGACCAAAATGGATGTTAGAAGAGACTCTGAAACTTGCTCTCCAGTGTGGACATGCTATAGCAAGTGGAAGAAATGAGGAAGTCAAAGAGCTGAACAAGTAATTTCAAAGGGCAATTTGAAAAGACCAAGTCAAATATTATAATGAAATGTGCAAAAACCTGGAGTTAGAAAAGCAAAAGGGAAGCAAATAATCTGAAAAACTGGATTATATGAAGAAGAATATGGAATCACAATCTTTGAGGAAGACTCATTAACAACCTGCGATATGCAGATGATACAACCTTGCTTGCTGAAAGCAAAGAGGTCTTAAAATACTTACTGATGTGGAAAGATCACATCTTTCATTATATGTTGCACCTCAATGTAAAGAGAACAGAAATCCTCACTACTTGATAAATGAATAACATGATAAATGAAGAAAAGATTGAAGTTGCCAAAGACTTCATTTTGTTTGGACCAAAGGACTTCTGGTGTGGTGCTGTGGGTTAATACGCTTGAATGCAAAGTTGGTTTGAACTGCACCAGCTGCTCCTCTGAAACCCTATACCTATAGGTCGGAACTGACTCTATGGCACTTAACAACAACAACAAGGAACTCTAGTAGCATAGTGGTTACGAGTTGGGCTGCTAATCTCAAGGTCAGCAATTTGAAACTACCTGCTATTCTGAAGGAGAAAGATGAGGCTTTCTGCTCCTATAAAGATTATATAGCCTCAGAAACCCTATCCAAGGTCACTGTGAGTCGGAACTGACTCCACAGCGCAAAACCACCACTACAATCAACATTGATGGAAGCGGCAGTCAAGGAATCAAATGACATATTGCATTAGGCAAATCTGTTGTACAAGACTTCTTTAAAGTATTCAAGAGCAAAGATATCAGTTTGAGAACTGAGGTGCGCCTGACCTAAGCCATGGTATTTTCAGTAGTTTTATCTGCATGTAAAAGTTGTACAGTGAGTAAGGAAGACCCTAGAAGATGCATTTGAGTAATGGCGTTGGAGAATATTAAAAGTACCATGGACTGCTAGAAGAACAAACAAATCTTTGTTGGCAGAAGTACATCCAGAATGATCCTTAGAAACCAGGATGGTGAGACTTCATCTCTCATACTTCTGACATATTATCAGGAGTGACTAGTCCCTGGAGAAGAACATCATGCTAAGTAAAGTAGAGGGTTAGCAAAAAAGAGGAAGACCCCCACATGAGATGGATTGGCACAGTGCCAGCAGTAATGGACTCAGGCACACTGGCAACTGTGAGGATGGTACAGGACAGGGCAGTGTTTTGTTCTGTTGTGCATAATGTTGCTATGAGTCAGAACTGGCTCAATGGCACCTAACAACAACAAGCAAAGTGGTAGAGAGTTTTCAGAGCTCTGCTTCTGTGCAGCTCTGTTTTGGAAAAGTTATTTCATGACCCAAGGACTGATGGGAGATTGTTTTGGAATGGTATATTGATCTGTGTCATGTGAGCAACTTCTTGGACTCAAAGCTCAACCCTTTCCTGTGTTACCCCTTTTCTACACTTTCCTAAAGCTTTAACAGATGCTCTGTTTTGCAGATAGAAACGTGTTAGAGTGCTGTAGAAAAGACAATTATGAAATTTGATCTTGCCAATTGAGTGTGAGGTTTTCTTTCAAAACTTGGAAGCAGTTTCTGATCCAGCGTCTTCCTGTCTGAGTCTTGTGGCCTGAAAGTCTCTTTGGGGCACAGGACTGTAATATTTACATTGAAGTTCAAAGGATGTATCTTGATCTTAAGTCTGAGATCAACAAAGATAGAGGGGAAGGGTCAGATGAGAGCATACCACTAACACCTCGCTAATGAGCTGCACTATCTTTAAGATCACAAGTAAACAAGTCACAAAAGGTAGAATGGTTAGATGCAGGGGGGCTTTCCTCCTTCCCAGTGGACTTAAACCATGTAAGAATAAAACAATGCTCTCACATTGCTATCTTTCCAGCATGAGTTTTCTAAACTTATTTAGTGTTGTCTTAGTTGTTGGAAGAGTCCGGGTGTGGTGCTGTGGGCTGATGTGCTGGATTTCAAAGTTGCCTTGAACTGCAAAGTTGGCAATTCAAGCTCACCAGCCACCCCTTCGAAACCCTATACAGGGTCACTATGGGTTGCTGTCTCCTCTAATCTTTACATTTGCCTACTCGACAGCACTTAACAAGGTAACAACAAGTTGTTGGGAGAGTCCTGGTGTGGCGCTGTAGGGTAAGCACTGGACTAAGGAGCCCTGGTAGCGTAGTGGTTATGAATTGGGCTGTGAAACGCAAGGTCGGCAGTTCGAAACTACCAGCTGTTTCGTGGGAGAAAGATGAGGCTTTCTGCTCCCGTAAAGATTTACAGCCTCAGAAACCCTTATACAGGGTCACTATGAGTCGGAACCGACTCCATGGCACATCGCCACCACCACCATGAATCATAAAGGCCACTAGCCATTCCACCAGAGAAAGTTGAGGCCTTCTGTTTCTATAATGATTTACTGCCTCAGAAATCCTATACAGGGTTGTTATGAGTCGGAACAAATTGTTGGGAAGGCCCCTGGGTGGTACAAATGATTTGCACTTGCCCATTAAACCTGAGTTTAAACCAGAGTCCTCGTGTGGCACTGTGGGTTAATGCACAGGTCGGCAGTTCAAGCTTACCAGCCGCTCCTTGGAAACTCTATATAGGGTCACTCTGGGTCAGAACCGACTCGATGGCACTCAACAACAAATAACATTAAACCTATAGGGTGGTGGCTTGAACCCACCCAATGTCGCCATGGAAGACAGGATTGACCATTTACTTCTGTAAAGATTTCCTCACAGCCTATAGGAGTGCAGTTCTACTCTAACACATAGTGTTGCCGTGAGTTGCAATAGATTTGACAGCAATATGTAAATTATTGAACCTTTTCTTCTTCTTCTTTTCATGTTTAAATCACCATTTGTACTGCAAGGATTGGGGGAATTTTTAAGAGACTTGCTCAAAATGAAAATGGTTAACTAATAAGGCATGGGATCACCGTGGTGACAGGAACACCAGCCACCAAAAACCAACCTTCCTTTCACTTGGCCTCTTAGACGCATGAATGCAGATGCCGAACTCCCTGCATGCTTTTCTCTTCTTGCCTTAGTCCTAGAAAGCAAAGCCATTCCTTTACCTGGATGACTCATTTGCAAGGTTTGATAGAAATATACATTTATTCAGCATACTTTGGCACTAGCTGGGTTTTACCGTGAGGTCTGCTGTAAAATGTTTCCTGCTAAGCAAGGAAGTCGTGGCCCGACATCTTTCCTTTCTTTTTTGTCTTGAGACTCATATCCAGGGGTTATGATTTGCAGCTGCTGCCTCGGTTGGTTTTTCTTTGGATGAAAAATTATGTGATAGCCCCAGTGAGAATGTTTTCTTTCCTGATTTTTGTCCCCCTTTGTCTTAATTTCTGAATTTCCTAACTCAGAGTTGGTTTTGTCCTCCCTCTTTCTGCAGACTTTGGTTTGAGCAACTGTGCGGGCGTCCTGGGTTACTCGGACCCTTTCAGCACACAGTGTGGTAGCCCCGCCTACGCAGCACCTGAACTGCTTGCCCGGAAGAAATATGGTCCCAAAATCGATGTCTGGTCCATGTGAGTTACTGAATTTTTAAAAGTGAAATGTCCCTCCTGTTGACTCCACTGTCACTTTCTTATGAAATGATGTTTGAATATTTGGTGAAGATGTATTCTAGTCTAGGCCCCGGGATACATAATAAAGACTCTTTGGGGGATTTTCCATTCCTTCTCTGCCTTGTCATTTCTGCCCACACTTGCTGAGTGACCTTTATCAAAATTCATTTTGGCACAATGGGTAGGGTGGGGTGCGGGCACAAGAAAACAAAACCTTTGCAATCAAGGAGTTCATAATTTGATTTCATGGATCAATTCATGTTCCTTGCTTGCTGAAGATCCTTCTAGAACTTTTCATTGCAATCAGAATGAAACCTTGCCTTGGCGCTGGAATAGCCATCTTTGAATAAAATCCTACCTTGGTGCAGGGTCAACGTCCTTGTGGGATGTGCCGTCTGCCCACCTCTCCCACTTCATTCATACCATTCCACCCACTGCTCCTGGTTCCTCAGCCACAAGGTTTCCATTTGGCTTACGGTCTCCTCTAATCTTTGCATTTGCTATTCCCTTTGCCTGGGCATGATATTTCCCAGCTCTTCAGTGGCCCACCCACTCCCAGATTCCAGTTTTAATTCAGAGGTCACCACTGCAGGAAGGCTGTCTCTGAGTTCCTCATCATAGGGACTCCCCATAACTCTGTCCTTTCCTCCTTTAATTTCCTTTATGATATCCATCACTGCTTATAATTTCTTTGTTGTTAATCTGTTTATTGTCGGTCTCTACAATTGGAATGAGAACTGGGTGAAGGTAGAAATCTTGTTGGTATGGGTGGGGTTGTCATGTATGGTAATCTCAGGTTGTTGTCTGCTGTTGTTGTTTTTCAGTCCAAAGAACACACTTTCGCACTTTTTAAGTTGGACTTATTACAAATTTCATTTAATTTCTGTTTATCAGGAAATGTCCTGATTTCACCTTCGTCTTTTAAGAACAGTTTTGCAGGCTGTATGACTCTTGTTCGGCAATTTTTTTCTTTCAGAGTGTTGTATATGTCATCCCATTGCCTTCTTGCTTTTATGATCTCTACTGAAAAGTCAAAGTCCTTTGTGGATAACTTTTCATTTTTCCCAAACTGCTCTCAGGATTCCTTACTTATCTTTGGTTTTGGAGACTTTATGATCTGTCTTGGTGATTTTCTTTTGGGGTCTATCCTGTTTGGGTTTCATTGAGCTTCTCGTCTTTCATAATGTTAGGGAAGTTTTCTTTCAACAATTCTTTGGCAATTTTTTTCTGTGCTTTTATTGTCTTTTCTTGATCTGAAATTCCAATCACCCATAAGTTGTTCTTTTTTATGGTGTTCGATATAACTCCTAGGCTTTCTTCAGATTTTTCTTTTTTTTTCTGATTGTTCTTCTAGCTTGCTAGTATCGAGAGATTTCTTCAAGCTCACTAATACGGGTTCCCATTCCTTCAGATCTACTCCTTTTCCCTTTCAATGTGTTGTCCATTTCTGAGATCTTAATATTAATTTTCTGAATTTCTCATTGCAGGTTTTGTGTTGTATTTTCCAAACTTTGCATTTATTTTGTCTGTTTACTGTTGTAGTGTTTTCCTGAGTTCTTCTAAAGTTTTTACTGTGTTCTCCTTACTTTCCTCAACATTTCTATCGATCCTTTGAAGGTACCTAATTATCATTCTTTGGAATTCTTTTTCAGTTAGTTCCATTACTTTTCTTCCTCAGAAACATTTTCTCTCTCTGCATCTTGGTCTGAACCATCCTCTCTTGTTTCTTCTGTGAGCTAAAATTGTCTGTTGTTTCCAGTGCAGTGGGTTGTCGTAGTTGTATTTAATTGATGATTGTATGTTGGTGTGTTCTCAGGCTCTCATCAACTATCTCCTGTGGGTGTAGTTAGAGAATGAAAGCATGTACACTGTTTTTGTTTACCATTCATGGACCTCATATAGTGTGGGTTTGGCTGGTGTTGGCTGCTATCATTGATCAGGTGGTATGGGAGCTGTGGTTCTTCCCCAGCAGGAGTAGCTGCAGACGGTAAGGCTGTGGCTGGGCTGTATCAGCACAGTTGCTGTCTCCTGTTCGATGGGAAAAAGAACACCCCTCCACACATATACACACGCACACAAGAAAACAAAAGAGAATAAACAAACAAAAGAGAAAATAATAAAGTGAAAACAAAAAATGGGCAGCAACCAATAAAAAAAGAATATTATGAGCTATAAAAACATAAGAGTAACAGGAAAATGGAAATATAGAGAAGTAAGAGAGGAAATACAAGAAGAAGGAATTAAAAAACCCCAAAAAAACAACACTTAAGAATAACTAAAAAAAGAAGATGGACAGGAAAATAGAGCCATAGAAGAGAAATCTGAGAGGAAATAAAAGAAAGAAGAAGAAAACATTTAGAAAAACCAGGGACAGGGAAGATGAAAAGAGAGAGTAGAGAGTTATAAAGAAAGATCAAAGGGGAAAAAAAGAAAAGGAGAAATGAGAATAGAAGAAAAAAAAGGACAATAGAGGAGATAGATAAAAGTCAAGGTAATGGAAAGAAATGAAGGCAGAGGAGAAAGAATAAACAGACAAAAACAATGAAACAAGGAAAGGTAAAAACCAAAACCCAAAATAAGAAAACAGTTTAGCTGTTGGACCTGGAGAGGAGAAACCTTTCGGAACTCCTGCAAACCAAGGACTTCAAGAGATGGGTGTGGGAGGGATGTAATAGGAGAGTTCCTGGCTCTACATGGAGTTCGTATTGGCTTCCTTATCTATATTCAGGGCATTCAATCCAGAAGTAATGTTTGGAGGCTTTTTATGAAGCTGGTTTCAGTGTCTTTTAGGACCATAGAGCAGCTGGGGGCAGGGTGAATGGTTAAAATGCTGGTCTGGTGGCTGGAGATTCTATAGGTTTGGAGCTGAGTCTGCCTGAACCCAGACACCAAAGCAGCACAGCTGGCCCCACACCTCATGCTTGCATGCTTTCCAACCATGTGACTCTGAACTCTTGAAGGGCAGGGTCTGAGCTGGGAGTGGATCAGGGTGAGAGGTGACCAGAGGTATGGCCTGGGGAAAATGAAGGGATCAGCTCTACTACACCACCTTCTGTTGCCAAAGCTGCTCTCAAGATGGCTGCGCCGTGTCTGGCTGGCTGTTTACCAGTCAGTCTCCCTGTCTAGCTTCCCTGCTTAGCTTCTTCTTCTCAGTATAGTTCTCTAACCTTGTCAGGATTCCCGGATTTTCATCTGTGTCTGTTTCATTTGGTCTCTCGTAGTATCTTCGTTGTACAGGGTCTGTGTAGTGCATCTGCCTAGTCCGCCATTTTGCTGGAAGTCCAAGGAAAGGAAATTTTGCTTGCAAAGGGTATAGCATATACAAAAGCATGGTGGGTGAGCAATCTAATTACTATTAATTTTGGAGACAATATGAAACTTCAGAACCTTCTTTAAGAGATTAATTTTCCACTGCTTTGGGCGTTGTGTTTGTGATAAGAATTAGGGTTCTATGTGCCCACAACTTGGCTGGCCAAATTGGAAATGGAAAACCCAAAGAAAATTTAAGAAGCTGTTTAAAAAGAGTAGAAATGGAACCATTTTTCTCTCCAGGTCAGGCGCTGTTATTATAAAACGTCTTCTGTTTTCATTGCTCTGAAACAACAGAATGAAGTGTTCACTTTCAAAAGCAAAAGCAAAAGCAAGTCTTCTCCCAGAGGTTTTGAACTCTGGCAGCCAAGGCCTGGTTCTAAGATTTCTGAGGCTGACTTTGGAAGAAAACCAGCCTGTCATTCAAGGAAACCCTGGGAAAAAACAGATCTTTCCACAAATGGAACTCTAGGACCCTCCTTCTTCTAGTGAAACCAGAATTAATCATGTCAATGGGAAATGCTGCACTATTTATTGAGTATTTTTAAATTTTCAGCATTCATTATATTTAAGACCATGAAAAACATCCTTAAAATCATTCTTTTCTTTTCATTCCAGATGACTGGTGTGTGTGTGTTTGTGTATATATATAGAGAAGAGGGTGGGAGAGAATCCTGGTGAGGTGCTGTGGGTTAATGTGCCAGACTGCAAAGCTGTGTGAACTGCAAGGTCAGTGGTTCAAGCTCACCAGTCGCTCCTCGGAAACCCTATACAGGGACATTATAGGTTGGAATCAACTTGACAGCACTTAACAACAACTATATATATATATATATATGGAACTCTGATAGCGTAGTGGTTATGAATCGGGCTGCTAATCTCATGGTTAGCAGTTTGAAACTATCAGCTGTTCCGTGTGAGAAAGGTGAGGCTTTCTGCTCCCTTAAAGATTTATAGGCTTGGAAACCCTGTACAGGGTCGCTATGAGTCGGAACCGACTCCACAGCACATAACAGCAAATATACATATATTTGTTGTTGTTAAGTGCCATTGAGTTGATTCTGATCGATGGCGACCCTGTATAGGGTTTCTGAGGAGAGAATGCGCCTCAGCACCATACCATATACACAGGATTTCTCTGAGTCTGAACCGACTTGATGGTATACAACAACAACAATATTTATGTAAACAGACTTCCACATCTTTCTCCTATAGGGCAGCTTGTGGGTTTGAACCCTTGATCTTTCCATTAGCAACCAAACTCTTAACTACCACCATATATGAGAAAAATGAGACTTTCTGCTCCCATGAAGTTGGAATCAACTTGATAGCACTTAACAGCAACATATATATAATCTCCAATGAACTTTGAGATTTTAAACTCAAAACCAAAAACTATCCAGGAGCAGTGAGTCTTTCTTAATGCTAAATGATAAACGTGAACTCAGAGTGACACATACGCTCATTAAACATATCTTTGATGCAGGCATACCTTTTCTCCATCCTTCACCACTGTTTACTTTCAAAACATTTCATCGCTCTAAACAGAAATTCCATACCTATTAAACATTAACTTTCCATTTCCTTCTCCCACCAGCCTCTGGTAATATCTAATCTACTTTCTGTTTCTATATGTTTGCTTGATGTAAGTT